AATAGTTTCGCTGACTGTAGTTGGCGTGTCCTGAGTAGCCGCAGCGCGCTACTTCAGTTTCGACGGCGAGTCCCATGACCCAGTGTAACGAATGCGTAGCCCACGTTCGGTCACGAGAATGGGTTGCTAGCCTATGTGTAGTGGAAGATGGAGTCCAACCGCGTTGAAAAATGATATGAAATTCCAGTCATGGTCGAAATTGTAGCAGCAAAACTTCAGTGAGACAATTTCTAACATGACAATGGAGATAAGGTAGTCAAAGGATTCAGTAATGCACAACAGTTGTTGAGCACACTATACAATCGTGCTGTGGCCGTCTCTCGTTCAGTAGCAAATCAGTTCTGAGTGCGATCAACCGTGTTGTCTCGTGGTATATGTCGAGGCAGAAATACGCTATACAGTCGTCGCTACAGTCAGTCACTCAGGCTACACATAAGTATGTGACGATGTGTAAACATGATTGGGTTGGCTCATACTTTTGAAATAAAAAGTGAACTCGATGGCAGCATGGCCTACTGGACATCTGTAATGCACAGTGGTACGCTGAGTGTCCCGTGTGCAGTCGGTGAGGCAGCTATTAGGGTAGGACTTGACGAAACACGTTATAGCGATTGTGGCAATTTGGGCGGACTCAGTCGACTCATACGGACTCGTCTCGATGTGAGGTAACAGCTGCAGTTAGTGGCGCATCGTTCGTCGTCTGATGTAACGTACGCCGAGACAGAGAAAAGTAGTCGTAGCTAGGACAACAATCTACTGTTTACGTCTAGTTGCGAAATTGGTGGTTATCCGCTCGTGCCTGTCTTCAGTCGGTGTGTTGAAAAAAACCGCTGCAGCACTGCAAACACCTCGAACTAATGGCCCGGTTGAAAAGTGGAGGTGAGATATTCGACTTCCGTGATGGAGTTATAATGCAGCAAGAGGATGCCCTCCTGTGTACGTGTTAGAGAATGGGTAGACAAAGCGTCGTTGTCGGTAAATCTGTTGATAGGTTCAAAGAGTGAAAGATTCGGTACGAAATGGAATCTCTGGTGTAAAAAGAGATATAGGTGGAATGCTGGTATTTACGGCGAAAGCAACTATGCGGATAAATAGTGAGAATTGGTCTGCAACGGATGAAAACGTTTGTAGGAGAATGTCCGTGAAGGAAGTGTGTATGTAAATACTACTCCCAGACTGCAGTGCAATGGCGAAATTGCATCAAAAGTAACCTCTAACAACCATTTACACAAAGGATAATACGAGATGAAACGGGCTTCATTCGGGGACATCCAATGTCCAATGTGATTAATAAATCACCGCCGGTGGATTGCTGTCCATGATTGGGAAGAATGTAACCCCAATTTTAGTATCCGTCGGACCGGTCCGCCTTCCAGGATGGATGAGGACTACGCGATTAGGACTGCCAGTGGTTAGAAACGTTGGAGGCTATGGCGCGCAACAGGCATCAGTGGAGACGGTGCTGTTCAACCGCGTTATTTACTAGTTAGTCTCATCGAACATAAAACACCAAAACAAAAAATCCACTAAACAGCGTGCATAAAACCGAAAAAATTGTTTTCGTATGTTGTACTTCGGTTCCCACTTTTATTTCGCCATGGTTCTGATGGCACAGTATCTGTAATCAGATGGTGAATATTGAGATGACAAACTCACTCTGTAGTGTGCAATCTCCGGGTCCTCGTGCAGTGAACGGAATGTTAAGCAGCACTGTTGCAACTTCGATTTGGCATCATTCCACTCCTGCTTAAGTATGAATTCCACCAGACGTGGCCAGAAGCAAACTTGGCAGAAGCGTTCCACCCACACCAGGTCCTTGTCCACGAACAGTGCTCCAATGAAGGCTGTAGTAGACAAGGAAAGTGCTGAGTTACTGGTGTAGCTTCAATGGAACCCAAGTCGCACAAGTGCACACAATCCCAGTCCAAACCGATCACAAGTTGGCGTAAGGGATACAGGAGTAGGGCATAAAACGCAGTTGCGTGGAAAACAGCGCTCAGACAATAGATGAGTGGCCAATGCAAAACCAAGAGTTTGGCAGAACTGTGTAAAGTGGAGATAGAGAATTAGCTCACTTATGAAAAGTAGATGAGTTGTAGGAATCGGTCGGACACAAGCAACGTTATCAACAGACGCATGATGACGGTGGCAACGCATATGGATGCGGATATATACACAGATTGATCCGGTGAGACCGTAGACAAGTTAAGACAAAGTAACACGATCAACCAGAGTACTCGATGCGATGGTGCTCAACACCCCTCTTGTGGTTTTTGAATATGCGACACGAGACGAAAGGCAAAGACTGATAAGAAATGTTCAAATCAAAGTCACCACATTAACTGGTAAGGACACATAGGAATGGGTCAATCACCAAAGACGCCATAAACCATGGAAATCCGCGTTCGACGAGTAAATTGGGTCAGGGCCGTTGACTCCCTTTGGTACTATATGGCACGTAATAATGTCTTAAAATAGAGCAGCTGACAGTCGCTCTTATCCTTAATATCCACCGAGAACCACGAGTAATAAACAATGCCACCGAACTACTCACATACACAATTCTGACGACTTTCCGGCATACAAGAAAGTGTAGTCAGTTGAGATAAGGTCTGCATCCGTCTCGTATAGGACATGCTCACAACATGTCAGTTGACCCCCTAGTTAAGTGCCACAGAAGCTATTTTTCATTTGGAGACCGCTGAAGGGTACGAAGGAGGGGATGCTCCCCAGAGACTAAACTAGGATAGGCAGAGCGAAACAGAGATAACTCAACCCGAGTTTCGTGCGTGACTGAAAGTCGCTTACAATCCAGGTGATCGCATATGTCTGTGCCAATGTCTGTTTCTGAGGAACATGTCGGGAATGTGAACTTTCCAAGTCGCATGCGGGTTTGTAGGAAGCTATCCGCTAGATTAATCCCAAAAGTGCGCTGCGCCAGGTCCGCCACCTTTCAAAGGAAATGATCACTTATGGTGAAGTGCGACTGCGATAGGGTGGTCGACTTCAAGCTCAACTCGCGCAAAAGATACACTTCTTGATAACTTAACGCAGGTTCTTGGTGAACTATTTTAAGAGGTCAAAGAGCGGTAACATCGGCACGTGTTTTACACCGGCGATGTGCAAGACATAGTCGGATGAACCGATCGATATGCAACTGTTTCTTGTAAACACGGGAAAGTCATTCGAAGGTAACATCGGGCACATATATTCAGATAATTTTCATCAAAACTACAGTCCATGCCGATGAAAGCAGGGGCATATTACAAAGGATGACAAATAAGTCAACCATTCAAGGGTGGAGTGAATGATGCTGTAGGGAAGCTTAAGTTTTCCCATAGGTCGGAGACGGGTGACTGCGCCGTCCATGATCAACAGTGTTTGTGGAGCGATTCATATATATGTAGTGAGAGCGCTGAATGAGTAATGTTCAAGCCTGTTGAACGGTTACCAGGCTGCGGACCTGTACCTCATTCTGTACATAATATGAATCACCCTGATGGATTATACGGTGTCGCTCGTAGAGTTGGAGTGTTGGGCACCAACGTGGTCTATATGTGCAGTCGGTACCCCAGTTCACCGATTGCCAAGGGTGACCGGGTGGTGGCATGGCTAGAAACCGTGAAAACGCTGAGTAAAGATTTAATTTAGATGGCACGTAACATCTGCGATGATGAGGGCCAAGGGATCAGCCGTGATCACAGATAGGAAGACCCATCGGAAATAACATGGGCTGGAAGTTGTTTTTACCCATGTATGCGATCAGGTAACTGGTGGCACTTCAGCGAAATTACTCCAGTGTTTTCGACGATGGAGTAGTTACTCGTCCATTAGACCCTTCACGCTTTGTTGTACTTGACTTGTTATCGCCCCCCTACGCGACTCAAATCAAGTTGATAAAATCCACCTCAGCGCACTGAACGAGGTTTCTTGCAAAGCAAAACTCGAGAAAATTGAGCAAAATTATTGTACTCCAAGTCGAGTGATGGAGAAAAATGTCTCACAAAACACGCAAAGGAGAAAAATCAAAAGCATCTAAGAAGATCAAGGACTTGCCTTCCAACAAATCAGCTTTATATTTCACGTTTTGGGTTTGAGCATTTGCTGCGCTCTGAGCACTTCCGATAGCGAGCTGTGCATCCGCACATCCCTTCTCCGAATTGTTGTCTTCGCGCCGAATCACGAACTGATCAAGGCCGAGTTCCGAGCAAACTGCGGCCTGGGTGTACTTGTTCACCAGCGAGTTCTTAAGTAGCGATAAATGTCCCTCGTGGTGGCGTGGGAAATGGCGGAACAGATAATCAGTTGAGACATATTTGAGTAACGAATCGCCCAAAAACTCCAAGCGTTGGTTGTCCCCCCTGTCAACAAAATCAGAATAGCTGTGAGAGGCAAGTAAGCATAGTCAGAGGTAGTATGTGAAACTGCTGTGTGCCATCCTGATACATCATTGGAAAAGGAGAATATTGACGCCATGGTGAAGCTACGAGAAGACTGATCGACACTGAATAGAGCAGTGTATACACCACCTAAGACAACCCTACTGGGTTTCGTAATCTCGCGGAGCTTTGTAATTGATTTGCAAACGTTCTATCACCAAACCAGGTGACTTCCTCAGTGCGTTATTATGCCGAGTGCTGTCTCGTTGAATTCAACCAGCCCGGATGACGCAGCTGGAAATGATGTAGACCAAAACTGTGCGGTAAGTCGTGCATTAATATGGAGTGGGAAGAATTCGGATGGCATCCGGATAAACTAATGCCTCTGAATCACCATTTAAGCAGTACCATGAAGACATCAGTACAAATGTCTACCGATATGTACGACCGTTCAGGGAAAATGTCTTTGTATGACAGCCGAAGGAGCACAGCAGTAAAATACTTTGGGGCTAGGGAGAGTTTCTGCATAAATGAGCACTTAGTTGTGATTTCAAATCATATAGTACCTACATGAACCAAAGTTCGTTGACTGGATAGTTAAGAAGTCATTTCGCAGCATGTTTTGGAATGCGCACGATAGAATCCAGGTAATGTGCTTCGTATCAGTGTCAAGAGCTCAAAGTGTCCATGAAGAATGGGGTTGCTGCCTGCCAATGTCCGAATGTGTAACTAACTTTCAGTCTCTGAATACTGTATTGTGGAAGCAAGTAGATATTTAAATCTGTACAAATCCACTGGAATATAATCAAACACGTTATATAAGTAGCAGTCACCACTTGATACTATAAATATTTTTCAATTTATTATGTAGCATACAAAAATGTCTGGCTCAGTGGCATGCAGCTCACAAATGTAAGATGTCATTACCAGTGTGCAATCGTAATGCAATCGTGAAATGTAAATCCAAGAACCACTGGTACTACTGTAAAGATTTGGCCTCCACGATTTGTGTTGGTAGACTATTCCAAACGTTTATCACACCGCAGATTCTCAGCTTGTTGAGGAAGTGCTTCTGGTTTACATTGTCGAACGCTTTGCCAAGATCGATGTAAATTACGTCGACAAACCTCCCCTGTTTCAGTGCCTGCAGCCATTCAAGTCTCTTCCCCAGCAAGTTGGTAATGAATGAGCGGCATAGCATAAAACCGTGCTGTGCGGGTGTCAGTAAATAATTTGACCGGAGCAGCTGTAGTAGACCTTTCTTCACGATGTCGGCAACTTTGGTCAAAATAGGTGTTAGACAAATTGGCCTGTAGTCGTCCACTTTGCTGGTCAACGCCTTTCGGAATCGGCCATACCATTGAGCATTTCAAGTTCCTCGACAAAATCCTCGGATAGTGAACTGTTGAATAAGTCAGTCACGGCAGGCGAGGTGATGGCCAATAGGGACTAGAGAATCAGTGGATTGAGTCCCTCAGGGTAAGAAGGTTTCGTGCCATCAAGGTTGGTGAGTAGTTAACGCACTTCTTCAACACTACAAACCAGACTGTCGAGTTAGGCAAGCGCGTTATAATTTGAACTCGGTACAGACTTTTGGTTGTTTGCAAACGCGGAAGCGCAGTGCGCCAACAATGCGGACACGCTCAATGCTCGAAGTTACGTAAATAAATAAATACCGCAAGCTGTACGCAGTAACGGCGCTTCGTTACTGCGCGACCACCACAAATCGCGCGTGGGGTGATTATACCGCGAGGACGCCTACTCCTACGCGGATTCGAACCGGTGACCTTATGGTTGCAAATCAGGTGCGTAGACCACTCGGCCACCGGAGATTTGGTGACGTCTGCCCGAGCCCTCGACAACTGGTAGATCACTTACCGGCTTGAAGCGCAGCTTCAGGGAAGTAACGATTTTTCCAAACGGCCTTGGCGGTAGTTGCGAGCTGTTCTTCGAAATGCCAGTGCTCGTTAATTTTTGACAACGTTACAAAGGTTTCGCCGTTTCTTATGCGCCTCGTAATCGTTAAGAGAGCCAGAGAGGAGCAATTTGTCCCACAATCTGCGCCGCCGCCGTCATTGTCGAACCAATGTGGCTTGATTGGTCCAACTTTCCGACACGTAAATGGTACAAATCGAAAACACAGTAGTGTCACACTACCATATAACAGTCTTACACAGATGCAGCATGTGGTACAGACCAATCTAGTTGGTATGATTCAGCGAACACAACTCCCAGTTTGCTCGCTAATCAAGCATGCGCGAGGCAACAAATCACTGGTCCAATGTAGCCGCGAGTGCCAACAGCACCCAGTCGCCCAAATACCACTGCAGAATTCCGGTTTAGCAAGGGAGAGAGAGAGGGTGTCTTGAACACTAGAGCTTTAAGAAAAAACTAATGCAGCTGAATATGCAAAAGGTTACCCGAGAACTATGGTCTTAAGAGTAAAGGGAGTCCGCAACCTTACGGATGCGCCTGAAGGTGGATAGAGCTAATAGACGTCTGTGTAATTTCTTGTAGCTGGTGCTTTAAGCCCCACTACCGATATACACCATGAAGGAACAGCAGTGCTGACCACTCTAAACTGGAAGGGTCGAAATCAGGGAGACGTGTGAGTAGCCTGCAACCTAGAATACAATTTTCACAACGAGTGGGATCCACACCGGCTTTCAAGTATTGAGATTCATTGTAAGATAACAAGGGTTGGACACCGAGGGATTCTGGTGCAAGTCGTTCTCAATATAAACTAAACGGGGGCACCATACTTGAGCGGCGATCGATACTACCAGACTCGGATGGGACGCTAAAATACTTAAAGTGAACAAAGAGTTTGACAAATGGCACTGAAACACCGGTATCAGCAACATCAGTACCACCGCTGGCAGTGCTGATTCGTACTGGCATTCCGAAGTAACGTAAACAGAATGCTTGCACTTGCTTTGACAAACGTAGAGATGAATAAGTGTGGAGCAGTGAATGAGCACTCAATGCCAACACGTTCACGAGCCAGGAGGTGAACACGGTCCGTAACAGATCACCAAGTTTACTCTCAGTGCTCACGGCCGGCCGGTTAGTGTGAGGCGTCTGCGTTGTAATTCGCGTAAGTGCGAATCACTCCGTAATATCCCTAGAGCGGGAGCAACATAGTGGTCAAGTGCCAGGGAAGCGTCGGCATTGCGTACCGGAGTTAGGTAGATGTTCGAATTAACTCTTAAATGCGACTCCATTTACGAACATAAAGTTCGGAATGGGAATCCACCAATAAAGTGACAGGAATGAAGATGCTAACCAACGTGCAACTAGGTCATCGAGAAATGCGTAATGTCGCGCGAAGTAAATCCAACAAGCTAGGACAACAGAACCAAATGGAGCCTACCAAGGCCCAATGCTGCATCCTACAGAGAGGAGTGTTGGATAAGGTAAGAGTTCGAATGGTTGGGATTGGTGTAACCCCAAGACATACGAGTTATGCTACTAAAAAGGCGCTTGCAGATGAGGTCTGCACCTATAGCACCGGTTGGAACTCAGTCACATTCGAAAAGTTAGGGGACGGTTAGTTTAGAGCCTCCCTCGGAGGCCGAGGTCCGAAACGCGATCACAGCCCTCAATCGTTTTCGTGCCGATGGCCCGGATTCCCTACCACCTGCACTATTAAAGGATGGAGGTGAGGTCCTCTGAAAAGCACTGACCTCCCTATTCGAACGTATCTGAAACGAAGAGTGTGCCGGCTAATTGGAGCGAATCGATTATTGTGGCAATATACAAGAAGGGCAGTCACACAGACTGTGCGAACCACAAGGGTATTAGCCTAACACCAGTTGTGGCAAAATCACTGGCTTCGATTATCGTTCGTCGCCTCACTGCAGAACGGGAATCTCGGATTAGAGAAGAGCAGGCCGGTTTTCGCCCAGGACGTGGCTGTATAGACCATATATTTACTTTGCGGCAGGTGCTAGAGCAGCGCCAAGCATACCGCCGACCGACAATAGCTGTGTTCCTCGATTTCAAGAGTGCGTTCGATTCAGTCGATCGATCGATTCTGTTCGAAATACTTGCGCGGAAAGATGTTCCCACGAAATATGTGAACATCCTTCGTGCTCTATACTCGAACAGTACAGGCCGCGTCAGGGTCTATGATGCCCTATCGGATAGCTTTTCGACTACAAGTGGCGTTCGACAGGGTTGCCCGATTTCCCCATTTTTGTTCAATTTCGTCGTGGATTCTATCATGAAGTGTTCCCTTGCGGAATCTCACGATGTAGGTGTTGAAGTGCTGCCTGGTGAACGGTTAGTTGATCTAGATTATGCGGACGATATCGTCTTGCTTTTCGACAATGTTGAGGCGGCACAATCAACCCTGAATAGCTTGTCCAGAGTGGTCCCATTATTTGGTATGCACTTCGCACCTGCAAAGTGCAAAGTGTTGCTGCAGGACCACCAGCCACTCGATGACCCCTTGACGCTTGCTAACGAGGAACTCGAGGTGGTTGATCAATTCACTTATCTGGGCAGCTGCATCAGCAATGATGGGCGCATAGAAACTGACGTGAGCTCACGCATTGCAAAGGCCAGAGCTGCCTTCTTGAACCTGCGTCATCTTTGGCGACAGAAGGGAGTTTCCCTCCGTCTGAAAGGCCGTGTATACAAGGCCACAGTGAGGGCCGTTCTGCTGTATGGTAGTGAGACTTGGCCCCTTCGGTCTGAAGATCTGAGGCGCCTTCAAGTCTTTGATCATCGTTGTTTGCGAAGCATTGCTGGTGTCGGATGGCACCAGCGTGTCCGCAACGATGATGTGCGTAGGCGAGTACTAGGTGGTGATGATCAGGCTAGCTCCCTAGAACAACAGATAGCACTGAATAAGTTACGTTGGCTCGGGCACGTGCTACGCATGCCTGGTCACCGCTTACCTAGGAGGGCCTTGTTCAGTCTACCAGGTGTCGGTTGGCTCAAGGCTCGAGGTGGACAGAAGTTGACTTGGCAGCGGGAAATGAAGTCACTGACAACCAAACTGGGTGCCGTTGGTCCGTCTCGCCTTCCGGGTTGGAGTCCACGTGACTCACCTTGTGCTTGGCTCGAGACTTTACAGGAAATGACTCGCAACCGACACCAGTGGCGCGTCTGCTGCCGTCTCCTAATCGGATTGCCTGTTTAATTTGTGTTTCGTGCTGAGTTATCTGCGGGGTGATGGCTGATTATGACGCGTGGCAGTGAAAGCCGCAAGGAAGCTGTATCGCCGATGCCGCCTTATCTTTGCACGATAGCCAGCTGTTTGTGACGGTATGTTGTCTACACAAGGTGTAGGCGCCTTGACCCTGAATGTTTGCTTAGGGCATTAAGGTTTTCAGGTAAGTCCCCCTTCTCTCCCTCTTCTTATTCTTTATTTCATAGGTCCTCATGGTTGTATGGCAGCGAAGCATCAGTTCAAATGGCTGATGTACTGCTGTTGATGATGATGATGAGCTAGGGGCTGCTTGTTTTTGACCATTGCTAACTTCGGAACACTGCTGGTATAAGATGGCAACATTATATGACCAACGTGGATTAAGTCTGAAGTCAGGAACTGGGAAATGCTGAGCTGCATACGTTAACTATATAACCTCTAGAGGTTTGGGTAAAACTTCGCAATTCCACATGTTCATCAGCTACCTCACTGAAGCCTCCGCGTGTGTCGTTGTTGGCTTAACTCAAAAGTGAGGTGGCCAACACTACAACTGGACCGATAGTGTCAAGATACTTTAGACTACCGAGTGAATCCCGTATGAATCAAGGACAGTGTGTAAAGACAGTAGAAACGGCAACGGCAAGGTAAAAAATGGCATTCAATGGCAGACATCCAGTTTAGCTCTTCTCCTATTGATATCCTTTGTTTATGTGTTGTAATTTCCGCGCGCTATGATGGGTGTTGTACCAAAATTGATCGTGTTACCGAGTCACATGAGGCTTGTCTAGACACCAAACTGCTATTTGTCACGTTTCGCTCTGACCGTCAGATGGTGTGCCCTCAATAGTCACACGCGTTATTTCAAAAAGTCGGTTAATTTTTAAACACAGTAGTATGTATGCTCTTCATGTGATCAGGCCGTTTGCGATGATCCACTGTCACTGCTCTCCAACACCTAAAGTTAAAATGTCGTTGTGCAGGTGCACCAGAGGGGATTGTTACATTAGCAACAAGCGTTGATGGAGTCTACCACATCGACATTAAGCACCTGGTTCTATAGCACATGCAGTCGAGAGTGCTTTAGTCATGCCAGTCTGGTAAGTTATCCAGGTAACAACGAAGGGCCAATACCGAAAAGGCAACGAGTAAGTTTAATAAGTAAGCATCAGCACAGCGCTTGATAAATACGCTGCTTCCGATTCCATTTACTAACCTAGGCTAATCATGTGGTCGATGTTACATCACCGCTGTTGTCAGTCTGTATGTGCGCTAGCGTGTACACTATGTAACATTTTAGATATTTGTTGATTGATATCCCCGGTCAAGCTGTGCATGATGCGAATGCAGGCAAGGTGGCTGCCTATCGAAAACCATCCATTTAGATTAATGGCTCCAGCTGAACGTTGCTACGGGAGACGGTGGGCACAGTCCCCGTGAAGACGCTAAACTCAACCAATGATTCCGTCCAGTGTGAAACGAGTTATGGCCCAGCCACCAACGTCTATACGTCTAATATGTATGTTTTCTCCTGCTCAAATGAATGATGTGTATGTTGCAGGAGTGTGGGACGGATATGGGTTGAGTTTATGGGACTGTGTGCGATGTAGCACAAGCTAACCCAGGTTCCGCAGATGATGCAGGAGTCCCGTGGCTATTCGCAGTCTTAGTGAGAAGCAAATCTGGAACGGGATGCCGCCAACCGTTAAAAATGCGGGCGCATTACCCGTACGCCAACGACACTGTAAGGCACAGTTTTGTTCAAGAATAACTTCATAAAAGTGACTGATAAAGAACTCGCTTGGAAATCGCAATATGCATTGGCTCAACAAGGACAATCGGCATTGGTGATCCGATGACGGAGGCCTAACAATCAGTCGTAGCACTACAATACAGTTTGGAAAGGGACGCACAAGTAGCGAGATTAACGTGCAAGTGCTGCAGAACTGACAGTTGGTCTACTGGGAATCAGCTGAGTAGAGTGCTAATTCATCACCCATCACAAGAGAGGCTATGGATTGTCGGAGAGCATAAAGTCGGAAGTGGGCGCAGGCGAACCGGCTATGCGTTGCTGCACACGAGTCCATTACAACGCAGAGCGCAGCTTGCCGTGGCCAGTCCGATGAGTGGAACATTGTGGTGAACCAGATTGAGGTACATGAAAGTTGCGAAAAATTGCTTCACGGCGATCGGAACAGAAGCGCAGTTGTCGACGCGTGTTTGAAGAGGGACAGAAACTTGACCAAATCCTCTTGCTGTGGAACCAGTAAGATGATTATGGCCAGTGATCTGTAAAACCCTCTTAAAGTAAAACTCGTGCTATCAAGTAAGGAAAAGGTGAAAGCTGAAGTATGAAAGATGGTGGATGGAACGCACAGTGTGTAAAAGTTGAATCCAGTCTTTCGTATAGTCATTGAGCGAGCCAACAAACGGAGACATTTGAAAGTGATACCCAGACGTTCCTCCAAAACTGGAAGTTTCTATAAAGAGAAATCGGAAAAATAGCGAGTGAGCAATTCTGTGGTTATGAGGTGAACAATGGATAAAAGAAGATGAATGTGAACGAGAGGCGTCAATGTGTCAAGGAAACATGGTTGGCGGCATCCGGTTTCCGATTTGCCTGTCACTGTGGCCAGCCACAGGACGCCTGCGCCTACAGAGGGACTATGGGTGGCTTGCGCTGCACCACCCACAGCTCCATCCACACACCCCATACCCAGTGTAAACCCGAAGGAATAAGACCGGGAGGCATGCGGATAGGAGCCACGTTTCATCAACGGAGTCGGCCCACACTCCTTCACAGGCAAACACAACCACACTGTATTTGGGGAATTAAGCGCACACAAGGCGATGGCTGGACCGTAGTCCGCTCCACTCTGAGTGCATGGAACCACTGTTGGACCCTAGCACGGCCACAAGGACCGTGCACCCAGTCCCCTGCAGCGACGACCAACTGTCTCCTGGAGCCAGTATGAACGATGTAGTGGGTAATAGACAGGTAGGCACCTTGTCAACATGCACATCAAGCGCAGCCACACCGGGGATATCAAGCAACAGCCATTCACTTGAAACGACAAGATGAAATAAAATAAATCCAATAATGCATACAGATACGGTGGCATAACTCTTCGCTAAATTACCATATGAAGTAAGTTGGTTAGCAACGAATCCGCGATAAGGAAAAAAATGTCCACAAGTTAGTTAAAAATGCTACAAAACGCAACAGTTACCGAAGATAAGCGCAATTAGCGTAAGCAACGTGGCCAGTTAATAGAACATTATTTAGGTAGGCAGAACAAACCAAATAAAGGGGAATGAAACTTAGCCAGCTTAAAAAGAACTAGTTTAAGTGTAAGTTGGTTTAGCCCAACTGCGGTGAAGAAGCATCAAGAATGCAACATCAGTTTCAGCATGGGGCACCAAGGAAACATAAGCTGATAACAATGAACAGTATATGTGACCGAGTTAAAAACCGGAAACTGATGACAATTGGGACCGTAGTATAATGATAGGGGAATCCACAAAAGCAAAGGAATCGGACTATAGCTGAAACGATTGGACGACACGGAAATACAGGTTCAAACTATTCCAAAAATACACTGGGAATGGTCTCTCTCGTCCCAAAGCATATGTCATCAAAATTGCAGAAATAATGTTTAAGACAAACCAACCATGTCACCCAATCGAGCACACCGGCACTGCCATTTGGGGTAAAGCAGTATTTCTTTTCGATAAATCTCGTCAGGCAATTACAATTATGAGATGCATAACCAGTAGATCAGGAGCTATCACCAACGATTCAGCGATTCGTTTTATATGCTTCGACTGTTTCTCCAGTCAAAGCATACACAACAAAACGCCGCATGGTCATAATGACTCCTATACCACTGATTATGTAGCTCAGAATTGGAATTGCTTGATGAGGTTTATCGAAAAGAAATTTCTTCGCATTTGCTCTTTTGAACTCTAAATAGGCAGAATTTACAGGTTCCGATGGCTGGGCCGTGTTGCGCATGCAAGCACACCGACTCCCGCGACGTGCATTGTTTGCGGGTCGGGAGTGCGTTGGAAGAGAAGGGGAGGCCAAGCGATGACTTGGTAGAGAGCAATGAAAACCCTCACTCCGAGGTTGGCGTCGGTTGGTGCATGCCGGCTGCCTGGCTGGAGTCTGAAGGACGATGAACACATTTGGTTTGACACCCTTGCTGACATGGCTAGGAGCCGGTCGCAATGGCGTCCGTGTTGTGAGTTTCTTTGTCCATCTCCCTCTCTTTTAGATTACCCTTCCAATCACGATCTCATAGCAAATTAATAATGTGATATGTAACAGTATGTTATTTATATTTTTAAGATTTTAATTATTTTTAGTATCATCCTTTTGTATCACGGCACATTAGAGGAGGCGTGTTTCTCACTCTCAGCTAACGTGTATTGATGATGATGAGGCCTAATTTACGAGTTCAATTAGTATTTCTCGTCTTCTGTGTGGCGTTCTTTTAGATACTTTACTATATGTGGTGCAACAGTTAAATATATTAGTGGATGCCGGTTGACAGATAAGCTGATTTGTCACTTGTAGTGCAACCACACGCAGTGAAGACGAACACATAAAGCAAAAGTGTTAAACACAAAAGAACCGGTAATAATTGACTGAATGAATGCGTCGAATATCGGTGTGTAGTTCTAAAGGCGTAAAAATTCGTCAGTCGGTAGGCACTAGCAAACGTAAGGTGCGACGCGATCAGGTAGCGGAACTGAAGGACAAAGCGAGGACAGTGAAGGAAAACAGAATATAAAGCAAAGATAAAGTGGAACGACCTGATCAAAAGTGTGTTCCTTGAAGATGTCTACATAAAGTCAAACAAGACATGGGACATGGAAGACAGCACGCTTGACATCAGTATTGCATCGAATAAAAACGGAACGATGACAACTATTCTGTGGGACAAAACAATCTGCCCAAGTGTGAATACAAGACAAAGTTAAAAACACAGCACCTGCTGTGTACGCCGTGCGCGCTGTTTCCATACACTGTGACAGTGAGAATAACAAGGAAACGTTGCATCGGAAGAGTGAGACAAGCCACCGGAGCAAAAAAGTTAAAAGATGAAAAATCGTGGTAGCCAGCCGCAGCACAGAAAATATTAGTATGTTCAGGTTGATAAGAAACGAGTAAGCGAAGTCCTAATAAAGTGCAGTCAATGAACTGTCAGGGATAGCGTTAACGTTAGAGGAAAGATTTGATCCGTCTCCAAAACAAGGACTTGCAGAAAGGTTCAGGGGGAGTCTACTCGAAAATAATGCATAAAGCTCGTCCGTCTTGGATTCAGATGCACTTCAAGTTCCGGACATTCCAAATGTTGAAGATATCGCCTAGCTAAGATGCTCAGCTCTTAAGTGCCCAGTAATACATTAAAATCGGACCGCTGAATGATGGGTGTCATCGCGTTCTTTATGTAGCCTGTTTACAACTAATTGGCATGGTGGACCCATAGCTGCGAACTCGTGTGGATATCACACACCAGCTTGTTATGGTACCACACGAGGATTCCGCGCATCCACTTGACCCCATGGATTTGAGGTAAGGTGATAAAAATACGCGATTACTAATTGCAAAATGTTTAGACTGACTTATATCGCGACTTGTATTGGTTTTGCAAGACGGACGCAATAGGCTGAATCGGGGAGCGTTAACGGATCAGTCAGTTGTTCCGTCATTAACGCGTTAAAATTTCAGCTGGTGATTTCCCGGCGCACCTTCTCCTTTGGATTGCAGCAGTGTTTATTTCATGGAATTGACGAATCGCTAGGCCTGTCCATTAGATTGTGGGTGATCTGGGTGAAGTGCTTATGCGCTCGAGTCCCTTGTGTATACAGAGCATATTTTTTTGGAAAAGTACCACCAACGGACATCACAGGTTCGATTCGTTTGCTCACTAAAGTGATGAGTTACCCGGATACATAGTGAAAATTAGGTGAAACCAGAAAATCGATAAAAATCCACTGTGGTGCCCTACGCGATCCAAGGTGCTCGAGTACACAACTTTCCAAATGCTTACGTACTTCAGGGAAATGAACTAGCGAGTGAGCTCTTGAAATAGAAGAAAACAGCTTTTGTGATCTGTCACATCTGTGACGCTGCCACAGCAATTGGCGTGTAGCAAAAGTGTTGTGCAACCTTAAACGGTCAAAAATCTATGCGCTATCAATTCATCTGAGATTCACGTCCCACGACTAGGTGACGAAAGAGTATAAAGGACAGCAACTACCGGTGTCAATCCGATATCTTGTCGATAACACAACCGTGGTGGTTTTTGTGTTCTCAGGGGTATGACCGAACGGCTTCCTAGGTTTGCGCATTGAGTTGCAGAAGTCAAACCACTAGACCAGGAGTGTATTGGTGTACCGAACCAAAAGCGGGCAGACGTATGAAAACTGACTAATACCGTACAAACTCAAGTTACATGCGCGTTTAATTTTATAAGTCTGAGTCAAGGGGTGTAGTGTGAAACAAGCGGTAGGAACAAGTGTTTCTGCAACATGAAAACCCTTGTCTGATCGTAGGAAGGGATTGTTTTGATGCAAATCACACAGTTAATTGTGGCAAATTGCGCGACCACTTCCCCGAACAAGTCAACTTGCTTCGTTTCTGTCCGCGCTTGATTTGAACTGTGGGATTCCGTTTTGTCTGCGTAAGTTACAGAATTCAACCCGATTCAGTGGCGCCAGTGAATTTACTTCGGTTTAGAATTGCCCTAACAGTGGCTGCACTTTTTGAATATCGCTGCTATAACCGACTCTTCCAAGTTAGCTAGGCATCTTTAATTCAATCGCATTAGAAGAAAAAGTTCATTTGCCACCACGTTTAAAATGAAAAGTCTCGACAATACACCGGCACACTGTGCCGACACTTCGCTGACAGGCAACCAGCAAAAGTGGCGCGTGGACTGAGTTTACAGCGAGGTAGCCTGCCCCCACGCCGACTCGAACTTGTGACTTCTGGATTACACGGCAGACGCCTTATACCAACCGGTCAATATGTTTAAATAGCAAGAACACGAGAGTACGGACCAGTGGTGTGAAAAAAATTATTATCTGAAATATAGTTCTGAATCCCAGGCAGAATAAAACTTCCAACAATGAATACTCACTACCAGTCATGACCAAATGTTGCTAGTAGTGTGTTTTGTAAAGCAATTTTCAGTGTTGTCTTCGCGAAGTCTGAGGAATTGTGCTTCGGTTTTAATTTCAGCATCTGGAAATATTCCTGCATTTATTGAAGGGTGTTAACACCCAAGCACTCACTTGGTGAATTTCCAAATCAAGAAAATATTTGCTAGTAGGATGTACCACTGATGACAAGTGGAGAGTTAGTTGATCTGTGAATGTGTATTTTCCATCTTTTCCAACGAGCACCATTGTTGATTATGGAATTATAGAAACGCCGTCAACACTTGCTCTGCATTGGCAAAGTTGCAAT